GGTGAAAGGTGAGGCAGACAGCTTCCACAAAGACATACAGCCTTGAAAAACCAACCTCATTAAGTAGAGAAATGCAGAAAATGACTCAAAATTCAATTTAATACTCTTCATCTTGGAAGTAGGGCCCAAACTGACAATATCAAGTGTTAGGGAACAAATGGAAAAATGGAAGCTCATGTGCTCCACTGCTGGAACTCCAAATGAGTGGAACTGCTTAGGAAGACAATCAGGTAATTTCCCATAAAGCTGAGCATTCCTGCACTCTGCCTCAGCAACCTCCCTTGGGCATTAATGTTGAAAACATTATGAGGCAGTTCTATTCTGTTCTATAGGGCAGCTATAACTTGGAATGACTCTATGTCTTGGGGGGTTTTTTTGGTTTACAAATATTCCATTATTTGAATATCAAAGCCAAAACCACAATACGTCATTTTTTGATAACTGATAGGCTAATTCCTTCCTCCTTATGCCTTTACCTCAAATTGATTCAGTTCTCTTGGCACTTTATTCTGCTACATGAATTTTAGAATCAGTTTATTAAAGTTCATGTTTCAAAAAATCAATGATATTTTTATTGGAATTGCATGAGATTATAGGTAAATTAGAGGCTAATTGACATTTTTATCATTAACACTGCAGCCTTCCTGTTTAATTAGGTATTCTTATTTGTCTTTCAGGAGCTCTGGTAGCATAGTGCATAAGGCACTTGACTGCTAACCAGAAGGCTGGCAGTTCAAATCCACCAGCCACTCCTCAGAAGGAAGATAGGGCAATCTACTTCCGTAGTGATACTGCCTCGATAACCCAAGGAATCGTCGCTATGAGTCGGGGCCGACTCGACAGCACATAACAACAACAACAACATTTGTCTTTCAGTAAAGTTTTATAATTTTTTTATAATGGTCATGGACCTCTTCTGTTAGAATGTCTACCCAAAACCTGATGCTATCAAATCTATTCTGATTTATAGTGACCCTATAGGACAGAGTAGAACTGCCTCATGTGGTTTCCAAGGCTGAGTGGCTGAAGAGTTCAAAGCACAGACCTTTCTGTTAGTAGTCAAACTCTTAATCACGGTGCCCGCAGAGCTCCTTAGAGTTATGTCTGTTGTTGTTGTTGTTGTTGTTTGCCGTCGAGTCGGCCCCGACTCATAGCGACCCCTCCTTGGGTTTCCGAGGCAGTATCACTACGGAAGTAGGATTGCCCAACCTTCCTTCCGAGGAGTGGCTGGTGGGTTTGAACCGCCAGCCTTCTGGTTAGCAGTCAAGTGCTTTAGCCACTATGCTACCAGAGCTCCCTCTAGAGCCCTTAAAATTACTAATGCTATTGGAATGGAGGACACAGAGGGCTTGCATTTGCATAGTCAGCTCAATGTTTGTGGTTAGAACCCATCCTGCAGCACCATGATGGAAAGGCCTGGTGACGACATCCTTTGGTTAAGTTTACAGCCAAGAAAACCCTAAGTTATAATACTGTTCTATACCATATCAACTCAAGAGCAACAAAATTGGTGTTTTTATTTTTATTAGGAATGCTGGAGTGGTGTTGGTGAAGATTATGTTTTTGTAATTTGAATGGTGGAGGGTCACCGAAAAAGGGGAAAACCCTCAGTGAGACGGATTGACAGAGTGACTGCAATGATAGGCTCAAGTATAGCAAGGACTGAGAGGATGGCACGAGACTCGGCAGTTCCTTCTGTTGTGCATAGGGTCACTATGAGTCAGCGCCAACTCGATGGCACCTAAAAACAACAACAAATTATTTCCATTTAAGAATATGATAGTATGGAATAGTATTGAGTTATTTTAAGTGCTGGTTTATATCAAACAAATTTGCTGAACTCTCTTAATTTATCAAGACCATCTCTTGGATTTTCTTTGTAGACAACTATGTTTTCTGTGACTTCTATCCAATTTGTTCTTTCCCTTCCAAAATATCTTACATACCAAAATGAATCCAAGTCTCACAAACAGGGCAATACTTCAAGTATTTTCTGCAGAGGCATCAAGTAAAGCTTGCCTGCTTCATGCAAATCTGTGACTACATCTCTCTGCCAAATGTGCATTAAAATGCCAGACTCCAGGCCTTACGGCCTATTCCTGATTCATAAGTCTAAAGGGCCACTACAACATCAGCATAAATTCATGCTTTGAGCTTTCTCTTTGTTTCTCATACCTATGTATTACCATCTCCTTCTCTTAGAATTGGTTTTATGCTTTTTTTTTTAATTTCATAATTTATCTAGAATTTTTAGGTGTTTTAATAAGAATAAGAGTTATCAATAGCAGCTGAATCTGCCAAGAACTTCAACTTTGGGCTAACCTTAGTCTCTGAGCCCTCCAGCTTTACTGAATCTTTTCAACCCTGAGATGTTATCATTCTGTATGAAGGCAGAGAAAGACACTTTAGAAGAAACCAAATCCCCTTAGAAGCACGACTGAGAAAGCACATCATATTTTTGAGACCTGCATCCCCTGTGTCTACAATATGATTCATAGATACTGTAGGAGAAACTGATCATTAGTGGATGAATTAAGTATACATGCTATTTATTATTGAATAGAGGGCATTTGACTGCTAACCAGAAGGCCGGCAGTTCAAACCCACAAGCCACTCCTCAGGAGGAAGATTGGGCAATCTACTTTCATAATGATACTGTCTCAGAAACTCAAGGAGGGGTCGCTATGAGTTGGATCTGACTCGACAGCAGTGAATTTGCTTTTGTTTCTGGATTTTTAGGTCTTTTTAGAGAAACTAGTGAATTACTTAGGATAACTTGAATTACAGTGGCAAACAGATCACAAATTGTATGATTGAATCGTGGCTGAACTACTAGCTGCCCACTGAAATCCAGGTCATTTTCACTCGGCTAGGCTGCTTTTCCTGCCTCCTCGTATTGACATGTGGTCCTGTGACTTGGTTCTAGCTAATTCAGTGGCGTGTTGTACTTCTGGGATTCTTCCACTTTCCTTCCCTCCTGGCCAACTGAATGCAAATGAAATGGAGCTGAATGGGATGGTGGAGTCACATGGTGGAATGGATCGTGTTTCTTCTTCCCCATGTCCAGGAGAGCTGCCTGCCACTAGAAATGCCCTCTGGGCCTGTTATATAGAAGGGAAATAAACTTTTATTCTGTTTGAACAATCATACGATTTGTGCAAGTTGGATCAAAGAGGAGGGAATCTGTAGTCAAGTAGTTAAGGGAGCATTACAATATTTAAAGTAGAAAATGATGGCTTCAGCTAAAGCACTGAGACTATGACTGAAAAAAAAAAAAAGTTATGTAGTGCCTAAGGCACTTGACTGCTAACCAGAAGGCTCACAGTTCAAACCCACAAGCCACTCCTCAGTAGGAAGGTTGAACAATCTACTTCTGTATAGTGATACTGCCTCAGAAACCCAAGGAGGGGTCACTATGAGTTGGGTCCGACTCAACGGCATTTAACAACAACAACAACAACACGTAAAAATTATTTTCAATGAAGAATCAACAAGATCAGATGTAGATGTAGAGGTGAGGGAAAAAAAGTGGGTGAAAGTGGGAAAAATAATGAAGAAAAGGAGGAGAAGACCAAGAAGAAAAAAAAAAAAAAAAGCTCTCCACATATCAGGTGCCCATTGAGTAAGCGTGATTTCAACTCAAGAAAAATTGATTTTTTACAAACTCATAGAGATAATACCTTAGTATAAACAATGAAAAATACTTCACAATAATCTCCCTGGAGGAGATAAAAATAAACAAGATGAGGATTTCCTCCTCAAAAGAAGATTGAAATCTACTTAAGTTCAATGTGCAGACTATGGGGTTTGGACAGACATGGTGGTGGGATGACTAAACACAAAAATACGGGAAAGGCAGATCAAGTCTACAGAGGCCTGAGAGTCATTGGCAAAGTGGTAGTGGAAGCCACTGTGGACTTGTAGGAGTCACCAACAAAAATAATGAAGAAAAGGAGGAGAAGACCAAGAAGAAAAATGTTGTGAATACATATAGTTAAGGGTTTGGAAAAGAGATAAAACCTATGAAATGAGACAACAAGAGTCTACTTTGAAAATGGGACGTACGGGAGGGTGGAGAATCCAATGTGCTGATTTTGCTCCTTGTCATTTATATTTGGGGAGTATCAGTGCAGACACCTGTCACCTCCTGTGCTCTGGCTCAGTCTGAATTTGGTGAGTGGACCATTCCTAATTATCCAGGGTACTCCTTCAACTGACACACCCATTATACTGCAGTGTGTTGTCTTAGATTCCAAAATGCTCTGCTGTTATTATTTTGTGTCATAAAATTCATGTATGCTTCTGCTTTCTGCATTAAATTGTAAGGACCTTGAGAGCACAGATTATGTCTCAGTTCACCTTTTCTTCTCCAACATAGTGCCTGGCACAAGTTTGTGTGCTTAACTATTCTGTGTTCAACAAATGAATTAGTGAACTATGTATTTTTCTCAGATTTCTGATTTTCCATGAGGTCTGAGTGTCTAGTAAATTGGACATGAAACGTTGATTATGTTATAAATGATTCATTCATCCTGAGTGTTGAGGTAGTAGTGCTGGACTGGGAAAGATGGGCACCTCTGATTCATAGATGGATAACTTTTTGGACTGGAGTGTCCAGGCATGACTGATTATTAGTCTCACTGATCAACAGGGATTTCCCCAAGATATTATTGGCTATCTTTGGATTTAGTAAACCTAGGTAGAAAGTTGGGAGCTCTGATGGCATAGTGCCTAAGGCATTTGACTACTAACCAGAAGACTGGTGGTTCATATCCACCAGCCACTCCTCAGAAAGAAGATTGGGTGATTTACTTCCATAGAGATAATACCTCAGAATCCCAAGTATGGCTCGCTGTGAATTGGATCTGACTCCACGGCATTTGTTTGTTGCATAGGTAAAAAGTTACCTGAACCTTGGTGTCAAAACTGGTGGATAAGGATGATTGTACAATAACTTCATTAATAATCTAGACTCTTCTCCCTTTTGCATTGAAGGAGCCATGAGGAAAGAAAACCAGTCTGCTACTCAGGGTTTCATTCTTCTGGGAATTACCAGTCAGCAGGAGCAGGAAGTTGTCTTCTTCATCCTCTTCCTGTTTATTTACCCCATCACACTGATTGGAAACCTGCTCATCATCTTGGCCATTCGCTCTGACATTCGCCTTCACAACCCCATGTACTTTTTTCTTGCCAGTCTCTCCTTTGTTGACATCCTCTTCTCATCTGTAACCGTCCCCAAGATGCTGTCAAACCACATCTTGGGCAGCAAATCCATCTCCTTTGGAGGATGCCTAGTGCAGATGGATTTCATGCTTGCCTTTGCTAACATAGACAGCTACATCTTGGCTGTGATGGCATATGATCGTGCTGTGGCCATCAGCCGCCCTCTTCATTACACAACAATTATCAGCCCCAGGTGTTGTGTCCTGCTTGTTGTAGGGTGTTGGGTGATGGGAAACGTCAATTCCCTACCCCACACTCTGCTTACGGCTATTTTACCCTTCTGTGGCCACCAGAAAGTGGCTAACTTTTACTGTGACATTTCTTCTTTGCTCAAGTTGTCCTGTTCTGATACCCACTTAAATGTGAAATTTATGTATGTAGGGGCTGGTGTTTTTTGTGTGCCATTAATAGGCATCATTATCTCCTATACTCGAGTCTTTGCTACCGTCTTACGGGTTCCATCTACCAAGGGCATGCTCAAAGCCTTCTCTACCTGTGGCTCCCACCTCACAGTTGTCTCTTTATATTATGGGACAGTGATGGGCATGTATTTCCGCCCTCTGACCAGTTATGGCCTGAAGGATGCAGTGCTGACTGCAATGTACACAGTAGTGACTCCAATGTTAAATCCTTTCATCTACAGTCTGAGAAACCAGGACATGAAGGCTGCCTTGGGGAAACTCTTCAGCAAGAGAATTTCCTCTTGACCATGTGAGGTCATACACTAAGCATTCACTTGAGAGTCCAGGCCCAATGTCACCACCTCCAAGAGCCATCATTGGTCCTTCCAGCCAGAAATTCTACTTCTCAGGAATCTTGTAATACTTTGATGAGACATCTTACTCATCTTAAGGATCATTTGTACACAGTGCTGTCCCTTTTAGGAGAGAAGTAGTACAAAAATGTTAGGCTTACTCTTCAGTTGCATAACTGAATAGTAGCATAAAGTTGAGAAATTCTGAAGTTATGCCTCCATATGTAAAGTTAGGAATAATAATTTCTGTCCTGCCTCCAAACAAGGTTGGGAGATCACATAAACTCATGCTTAGAAGGATTAAAATCATTGCTTAAATGTAAATTTTTATTCCACTGTTAGGTTAAATCATCCCTACTATGATTATAGGGAACGTGGTGGTGCTGTGATTAAAGAGCCTGGCAATAACCAAAAGGTAGGCAGTTCCAACCCACTAGCCTAGCCATAGGAGAAAGATGTAGCAGTCTGCTTCTGTGAAGATTTATAGCCTTAGAAACCCAGCAGGGCAGTTCTACCCGGCCCTACAGGGTCACTGTGAGTCAGAATCAACGTATGAGTTTGGGTTACCATACTTACACTGCAATGTAATGTACACATACAATGGAGTTCAACTCCCCTGGTCTAACTTCAAGTTGGACAGAGGAATAATGTGAGGTTGTTACCTGTGGTAGTTAAGTTATATGTCAACTTGGTTGTGCCTGGTTTTGAGTGGCTGGGCAGCTGGATGTAGTTTTGCCCATGATGAGACTGGTAATCAACTCCATGGTGGAACTGACTAGAGCAGCTGCGTGGCCCCTTGGGAATGTGGTCTGCTCCCCACATGGAAGAAGCAGCTTTGGGAAAGGTCTGTGAGCTCCTTGGCACACTTGGACCCTGCATGTAGCCAAGTCTTCATTCACCAGCCTGCCATGTTTCCTGCTCATCTTGGGACTGTCTCTGGACTTGAACTAGTGGCCTGCCATGTTGTTTGATAATCCTGGGATTGCGCCATTTCATTTGTCAACCTTGGTTTTGTCAGCCTCAACAGCCAGAAGCTGCCTGAGCTAAGAGACTCCTCCAGCTTCAGTGGACCAGGAACAAGAAGCAGAGCTGAAGTCCAAGGTCAAGGGGCTTTTGCCCAGCTCCTAGAGCTGGCACTTTGAACTCATACTTCTGGCCTCCTAAACTGTAACAAACCTCTGTTTGTTAAAGCCATCCTGTGGTGGTTACATTTGTGTGTCAACTTGGCTGGGCCTGGTTGAGTGGCTGGGCAGCTGAATGTAGTATTCCTCGTGATGAGACTGGTAATTAACTCCATGGTGGAATCTATTGGAGCAGCTGAGTAGCTTCTTTTATATGTGGTCTGCTTTCCATATATAAGAAACAGCTTTGGCAATGGTCTCTAGCTTATGGCATGCTTGAACTCTGCATGTAGCCGTGTCATTTTTCAGTAGCCTGCCATACTCTGCTGGCCTTGGGACTTTCAATGGACTTGAATTAATGGCCTGCCATGTGGTTTGGTAACATCAGGACTGTGCTATTTTATGTGTTGACACTGGGCTTGTTAGCCTCAGCAGCCAGTAGCTGTCTGAGTGAAGAGATGCCTCTAGCTTCAGTTGGCTGGGAGCAAAAAGCAGAGGTGAAAGCCAATGTCGAGGGGCTTTCCCACAGCCCCTAGAGCTTGGCACTTTCAACTCCGACTTTTAGCCTCCTGAACTGTAATAAATTCCTGTTTGTTCAAGCCATCCTATTTGTGGTATATTTTCTGTTAGAGCAGCACAGAGGTAACCAAAAAACCACCCATTTGTGGTCTTTTGTTAGCACAGGGCCTGAGTCATTTGACTGGTAACCAGAAGGCTGGTGGTTCAAACTCACCAGCCACTTCTTGGAAGGAAGATTGGGCAATCTACTTCTGTAGTGATACTGCCTTGGAGTCCCAAAGAGGGGTCGCTATGAGTCAGATCTGACTCAATGGCAATGAGTTTGGTTTGGTTTGGTTGAGAGGTCCAAAAGATTACATCAGTTAATGCTATAAAATTTTCCAAAGAATCTAGATTTCCTCCCCTCTTCTTCTATACTCCTCTTTGGCACTTAGTATTTCACTATGTAAGATTACAATAATCATAAGAATCTATGTGCTGTTCAACAAGACAGAAAACAACAAATGCTGGCGAGGATGTGGAGAGATTGGAACTCTCATACACTGCTGGAGGGACTGTAAAATGGTACAACCATTGTTGAAAACAATATGGCAACTCCTTCAAAAGTTGGAACTAGAAATACCATTTGACCCAGTCATTCCATTACTAGGTATATATCCTAAAGAAGTGAGAGCCATGACAAGAACAGACATATGCACACCCATGTTCATCACAGCAATATTTACAAT